GGAATGGAAGAGTGATTCACAGTTGTAAGAGACAGACAGATACAATGGCAAAGAAAAGGTAAGATGAGTACTGTGAAAGTAGACGAATATGACATGCAGTGGGGTGATGGTAGTTTGAAGTGCGAAGTCAACTGCCGGTTTAATAACTTTTGTCGTATGAGTATGCATTGCCCAGGGTACACCACGTGGAAGCAAGCCCCATTATATTAAATATAAACTTGCGTGTATCCACCGCATGGTGTCAGGCATGTCCTATCTTCTTATGTTGCCTCCACGCAAAAATTTATTGCTTGAAAATACCCTGTCTGAAGAATATTGTTTACGATCTTTGTGTATGTTCTAGCGCTTGGGGAGTTAAGACAAAGTATGTTAGGGATTGTTGTTGTTGGTGTGTGTGCTAACCATTTCGCTCGTGCCCATTCGTGGAGTCAAATTGTCGCCGCATTTCTTCACGTATTTGTGCCTGAAGGAATTTTCCCAATATTCCCAATTGTTTTTATTTCAAATTAATGCGTTTTATCGACCACCATTTGAAGTACTTATGGAGTGATAGTTCTCCTTTATTATCTTTGCTTTTCTAGAAATCTCCCCTGTCTTGTCTTAAATCTAGATATTACTTCAATATTTATTAAACTGATTCAGATTTACGTAGATGCAATAATTGTTCCTCTTTTATTGCGCTAATCATAGTTATGACAACGAAGATGCAAATTCACTAATGATAAAAATACCCAAAACGTCTATATTAGATCAGTAAAGGGTGGAGTTAAAGAATGGTCGATTTCAAGTCACAACATTTCCTCCTTTAATACTCAGATTCATCAAAAAATTATTCCTTCCTAATTTAAAGGTATTAGTCACCACTGCACCATCTCATCCCCGTGGGGATTTCGGTGTCTAGCTTATGAGTGCGTTCGGAGATTGTTCACCACTTGGTGTAGTTGGGTGGTTGGTCCTCCATCTCTCTCTCTACGTATTTGTCTCTTCCACAGACTCAGAATGTCTGGTTAAGTTTTTTTATTATTTTTGGTGGTGGTTTTGCTTAGCGTAAGCTCATGCTCTTATCCCGCGTTTTTTGTCACTTATCCCAATAAGTCCCAGATTTCATTCAATCCTTGAGCGCATAAAATGGCACTTAGACGGCATCTCAGTAGAAGGGGGGATTTTTTTAATTAAACATTTATTGTGACGATTCCTTCTCTTTCACTTAGATTCATCAATACCGCAGAGTACGTTTAGGTTCTTGGGCCTTATTGAAATACCTGCCTCCACATTTGAAATCTCATAAAGAAATTGTATTCCAAGTTGGTTATTAGCGATGCGGCGAATCCGAGATGATTTGAATCGCCTAATGTATAGTAGGTGGACTTCTTCTCGGCCATTGGAATAAGGTAGGCGTGTGTAAAAGTCAAGGGAAGAAAAAATTGCAACACGCTCATTAACTCTGACGGAAACATGATTACTTACTTAATTAGATTATCAATGTATATATATCTATTTCGGTTAAGTGTAAATATCGCATCTAAGCCATTGGTCGAGAAGAAAAATGTTGATGAAAGAACCAGGGTAACTTCACACACATTCTTGCAAAAATACGAAACAGGTGACTTCATTGTGGTCTTGCCTTTCTTTTCTGTCAATATCCGAGGTGTAACGCAGCTGAATACCATCCCAGGTTAGTGTTTGTATTGAAATTAGTAGGGAGAATGGGATGAATGTGTTGAATAAGACCACTATCTCTTCGCAATTAGAAGGCAATTTCGTTAGTAATTACTAGTACAACCTCTGCAACCAGATGAATGAAGACCGATTTCTAAAAGTTGTGCAAAAGTTCATTCTTGAAAACTAATGTCTATTGCAAATTGCCACCCACCTCCTTTCTAGCACTTTCGAGATCTCAAGGGCAATGGGGGCCGTAACCACAATTTGGACAACCCCCCCCCCCAGTAAACATATTCAAGGGTAAATTGTAACCTAGGTACAGGCTTTTGTTTAAATGTACTAGGTAAAGTGTATTGAATTAGAATGAATTAATAGGTAAGAGGAGAAACTGTAACACCATAAGTACTTAAGATTTGGGGATGTAAAGTTGATGATAGTTAGTGTGAATGAAGAGGTACAGTAAATGACATTGGCAGGCTAACAGTGAACATATTCTCTGGTTGGGGTTAAGATTGGGGTGGGGGGTGGGGGAGGTGAGGGAATTTAACTGACGAGTTTAGATAGTTTGATGTTGATGTCTCCATTACATTCGAAAGTAATTAACTGGCAATGAACTGAAAGTGTACAATGTCCACATGATGTTTCTCTCTACCTACTGTACCCTTCGATTATGTCCATAAAGGGAACGGGGATAGAGTTTTGTCTTTTGTAGATCTGTATTTCTCTTCTCTTGGAGAGTTTTTTTCTAAATCTGCTCAAAATGGTGATCTACGAACTCCTGAGCTGGTAAATCTCATTTGAATGAATGATTTTATACGGTATGAAATTTCTTGACTTAGAGCAACTATTAATTTTACAATTGAATAGTTTTTACGCGCCTTTTTACTATATTTCTTGCTAAAAGACCCACTTTCTCTATCTATCAGAGTTCAATACTCCCTTGATAGTAGTATGTTCGTATGTTGTTAAAGGAAATGGAAGCAGATATATGGGTTTGGGATGGGATTGTGGAGATTTAATGCATGAGATTCGAGGTTTCTCTTTTCTTTCACTTCTCAACACGACGAACTGCATACCGTTACTTTTTCTGAACATTCTCCCTCTCAGGAGATTTTCATTGAATCTGAGGACGCTCCGATATGTGCCTTCGCAATCACTTCCACCTTTTATATGACTTGAATTAACCGAAAATTGAGCTCTAAAAACCGATACTAATTATCGTGGTCTTATCAATTGTGCCAAAAGCACTATTTTCCTATCTGCAATCATTCTACCCTTTTTAAATACTCTAACGCCTTGTGAGAATTTTGCGTTTCTTTCATTTTGAATGTGAATTTCTTGTTAGTGGATTTCCTGCCACGATTGTGTACTACCAGTTACTGAAGTTTAGGCTACCCCCTCCCCCACAGACACCAATCCAATTTTTTGTGTGTGTTTAATATTGGAGTTAATCGTATGAATTGGGGGAGGGGGGGGGGGTGTGCGATAGACTTACCTCCACGTGGTGCACCCTGGGCAACGTATACTCATATGGCAAAATTGTCTATTAACTGGCAGTTGACTTCTCACTCTATGCCGTATTCGACTACTTCCACAGTACTCTTCTTACCTTTTTCTACCTTTGCGTCTGCCTCTTTTTCATCTTTGAAGCACTCTTCTGCCCCACTCCCCTCTCAACACTTTTTCACTTTGATGTTGCTTCCCCACTGTGAAGCCTGAAGTCAACTAAAGGGCTAATGATAACCATCAAGACGCCTCCAAGTCAACTAAAGGGCTAATGATAACCATCAAGACGCCTGTCATTTGATATAAATAAATAAATCGTATGAATTGGATAGTTGGGGGGGGGGACAATTAAATGCACACATTTATCAAATTCCCCTCGATAGCACGATTCCGGTTCGCCGAAGATTTAAGATTGGCTTTTTTTTCATTCGCCGCGTATATGCTGTGTCCCTGCTAGTTCTTTTTAAACCGCCACAAGTACTTGAGCTCTGTCTGTGTGCATGCTTTGAGCTCTGTCTCTTGCTCTATTGGCAAGATGCCAAAACCCAGAAGACTTTCAAATGTGAACTTGCTAATTTTCAAAGTTCACCTTGGCAACTTTCAGTGCCGTCTGATTAAATCAAAGCATCCGTGTTAATTTAATAATCAGTAATCCTCAAGACGACTCACTTTGCAGTAGCACTACCTGGAGTTCTCTCGTGGTAGCAGTGTAAATTCCTCCTCATTGATTTTCTGTATTAGCGGGGATGTTAAATGGATTAATCTATTAATTAATTACTAAGCGAAACAAACGCTTCCTATCCCATTAGCTTTCAGTGCATTTTGGCTTATGGAATAGATGAAATACGTGCTCAGTGCCATAGTTGTGCTTTGTGCGTTAGTGCGGTTCGAAATTATCCTTTATTGCTTTTTTAGATGTTTTTTTGCATTGGATGCACAGAGGCGTGGGCTGCGCTGAAACCCTTTTAACAACTCGTTTCCCATGTCTTTATCTTCTTTGGATTAGTGGGGCACGAAGAAGCCTATCTGGGGGGGTGGGGGTGTGTCATCACCAGCCCCATATTTCCCACAAATTTGATGTACACAAGTAGAGCACTCAATCCAATCCATGGCCACAGCTGCTATTACGTATTTGATATCTTTTTGTAAAAGTCGCCAATCCTGCCTCAATGATACTCGTAAAATATTCGTTTTGCATTTTTTAAGCTCTCTCTCTCTGTCTCCCCCCACTATTGGCTATTATATTTATTTGAATGTAAAAAATAAGAGTGGGAGTGGGGGGGGGGGTTTTCTTATCATTAGGTGCATTGACTAACAATAGGTGAATAATTTTTAGCAAAAAAATATTATTCACTCACAGATTCGCATGCGAAAAATTCGTATCCAGTGGTACTTTGCTATTAGCTATTTTGATTCTCATTTGGGGGTGGGGGGTGGGGGGTTGGGGGGAGGGGTGGGAGATTTCAATTTCTAGCCACCAGAAAGGTGAGAAGTAGCTGGAGAGTTCTGCTATTTTATTCAAATGTGATTGCGCGCGCGCGTGCAGGTAATTGCATCAAATTATATTTTGATGAGACCTTTAACGTGTGAATTATTTCGTGTCTTTTATTTAAAATTCACACGAGGCCTCTTGCAATGAACGTTCGCTCTTTCGCTCTCTCTCTCTCGCTCCTATCCCGGTTCTCTCAGCTGCCTTAATGACTCCTTTTTTCTTCTCCGTTCTTCTTCTTCGTCAAATAGTGCTTTTTTCTCACCACTTCAAATGTGATGCTTCTGAATTAATCACCACCTTATTTTTTCATTGAAATTTTACGTCCTTCACTCCATTAGTAAATTGATTGCCTAGGGGGTAAAATATGGTGGTCTGCCAGTGGGAATGTGAGTAAATTCGCGATTGCGGATTCGGGAATGACTTTGCCTCCTCGAAATTTGGTTAAGTTTCAGAGGAGAAGATTCCAGCGCTGCTTCTCACTAAGAAATGAAATAAGATTTATGTCCTATACGCAATAAGTGACGTGATTTATGTCCACTTTGACCTTTGGATGACGTTCTCCAGGACTGCTCATTGTCGTATTCTCCCTATCTCCTCATTTGGCCGGGTCAATTGCTCTACTGGGATTTCAGCAAATTCATGATTAACCTAAGGTTTTGCAGCGTTCTAAGTGCATACTTTCGATTTCAGATCATTTTCTAACCAAGAAATAATTGATATTAATAATTTATTTATATCAAATGACAGGCGTTTTGATGATTTTCATTAGCTCTTTAGTTGACTTCAGGCTTCACAGAGGGGAAGGAACACCAAAGTGAAAAAAGTCGATAGGGAGGGGGGGGGGAACAGAAGTGTTTCAATGACAGATAGAAAAAGGGTAAGATGAGCATTGTGGAAGGGGTCAAATATGGCCTAGAGTGAGGTGATGGTAGTTTGAAGTCAGAAGTCAACTGCCGGTTAATTGGCCATTTTGCCGTATGAGTATACGTTTCCCGGGGTGCACCACGTGGAGGTGAGTGTATTGCGCACCCCACTGAAATTAATAATTGAGTCAGTGTTTGGTAGAAGCACTACTTTATCAGCTTAGAACCAAATTTGTCACAGGCTACCTACTCTTATCTCGTCATTGCTATAATCGTATTCAATTAGCTTTGATCTGTGTGAAGTGCAGTTGTAATGATGATTTGTGAAATCCTTTAGATTTATGGGTAGTTTGTGCAAATATGCGTGTCAACACTACCTGAAGCTTCGTGCATGGGTGAAGAGATGGCACTAAACGAGAAGAATAACCATTACACTTTGGACTTCCAACTTTTTCTTTTCTTCGAATACATTCACTAATTTCATCAAAAATGTCTGCATTCTAGCTCAATACATAGTGTAGAGTGGAGCGGAGCGGAGCAGTTGTTTTTATTATAGGAGAGATATCTCAAAGAAGAGCACTTTCTCTATGTATCTTACTGCTTTTCGTCTTAATTGGGCTTTATTCTGCTCATTAATCCAACAAATACCTTTTTGGGTAGATCCCATTACTGTTTCATGTTCGCGCCACGATATAAAACAGGAGCATAATGTCATTATTAATTACCCTCCTACTGGAAAAATACATGCAGATACACACACACACACACAGAGAGAGAGAGAGGGGGGGGGAGACAGTTGGTGCTTCGCAGGACATCGATGGTAAAAGTTTTTGTTTACCAACGTGGACGAAATTACGACTTAATTGTCTCATGCTAATAATTACGTTTTTTTATGTGCGCCAAGAGACTCAATTTCTGCACCTTCTTCAGTTTAAAGTCATCGATGGGTTTTGTGTTATTTGATTCCTAAGAGCAGGCAATTTTTTTTGCCTGGGTCCCTACCCTTTTCCGGGTTGTGAAAAGAGTGGACTTAGCTGTTTTGGTGCAGGATCTCCTTGTTCCTCTGAACTTCAGAAATTCTAAATGTGACTTGGGGATACTACACTCCAGCCTTTGTAGATTCAGAGCATTTTTGTGTTCTATCGACATTCTAACGAGCACAACATTCATTACAACAAAGAAGAAACATTGGTGTTTTTTTAGCTAAAACTCCTTCTCTTTAAACTCAATGTCATTTTTATTCTATAATAATCAAATACGCCGACTTATAAATTATGTGTTCGGTGAAATTGCCCAATGCTTCCAATTTGGCGCTTAGAGCCATGCACTGCAATCCTGCATCCCTCAGGTAAGATTAGGCGTTTATTTGGCTGGCTGGTGGGGGGAGGGGGAAGGGTTCGGTTGGACGGGCGGACGGACGGAAAGCTCAGTTTAATTAATAATCAGTATCAGCATCAGCCCAACCCTTTCTCATGGTATTCCCTAATTTATTTATCTACCTGTCCACATCTTAGATTCGCTATTTCTTTTCTCACGCCCTTACTTGTTCCAAGGTTCGTATTGCATACAGTATTTTCACCTCATTTCATTGAACAGGCCTAAGCTTTGAGTGATTAGAAAAAGAATTTAGAAGAGCGATCATATGACAACTTTCTTTTCTCACGTGGATCTACTAACCGCTCTTCCTGGGCGAAGTGCATTGCCACACTGAACCATTAAAGTGTGCTAATGGTAACGTTCGTAATTGACAGCCATTTATTTGAGGCATTGTTAAGTGAATACAAACATTCTGTGGTTAAATCGTAAGGTGATAATCTTATTACAATTTTTCTCTCCATTAGATAGCCCTTGAGAAAGTCCAGAAATCTCAACAACAGCAATTAGACACTGCAACGTCAGGTACCGATGCCTCTTCTCAACCACAATCAACACCCTGGTCTCCTCTTATCGAGTGCCTCGTCTCGGCATTCTACGAACTCACCGATGGTCTCTCCTTCTACCTCTGTCGACGAGTTCCAGACCACAAGGCGGCAATATTTCTAGCTGCCTCAGCTTCTGCGAATGGCATGAGTGTGAATGGCTTCAAGAATGGACACTCGGGATCGCCAGGGTCTGATAGTGGTGGTCCATTCAAGGCCTTCTATGGACCAGGACACTTTTTGGTGGCTCCGAAATCGGTGAAGGAGTCAAATGAATCCTCGGATGGAGATGCGGATGCGAGGGCGAAAGTTAGCTCGCTGGATAATGTGGCGTTTGAGGTGAGTGGTGTGGACCAGGGTTCTTTATTAGATATATATTCCTGCAAGGAACATTTGTCCTAAACAGTTAGATTGAAATTCCACTACAAATACATAGTTCAGTTACCACCATTTTCCGCACCTACACTTCTCACTTTATTGTAATTTATTCCACTTTCATTCGACATACGCTATGTGTCTATAAGGTGTTTTTTTGCCCGACAACATGAATTCACTTTCCAATGATGGGTCACCATTACTGATTTGAACTCATTTTAAATTGGTGATTAGTTGATGGTTTTCCCATTGGCAATCCTTCCCAGACAATTGGTTCTAAAGCACCTTGGATATTTGAATATATTGCGAAAGAATTTCTACACTTTGCCTCTATCACTTACAGCAAAAGGACCTACGTCCAAAGTACATCTGATGTGCCTTAACAAGACCCCCCCCCCTCCCCAAATATATAGCCTGATAGGGTAGTAGATAGTTTTAAAGAGAATAATAAGTAAATGAGCATAGTTATAGATGAAAATACTCGAAATAAAACGGACCACTTCATTCATATTTTCTGCAACTTTATTGATCGGAATTATTGTATGCCAATGGTCTCGCCTGCTCCCCTAGATTGGTAACATGAGTCACATTATCTGTTTAACTTGCCTATTTTACTGGCAAAAGAATCTGCATTCCATGCCTAGTTTTAGATCTACTATCTTGAGTAGTATATGTTAGTGGACACGACTCGGGCGAGCTTTTTTCCTCCAAAATAATAATAAGTGATTTGTTATGCTATTATGTTCCCTTTTTATTGTTATGGGTGTGTTTCACTTGATGGTGTCTCAGCTTTCTTGACTTGTAAATGCGCAGTTTCTCCTCGCTGCAATTATTTGTATTCTCGAAGGCAATCAAATGTGTTTATGCCCTGCAATATAGATGTCAATGTCATGGATTTTTTATCCCTTGTTCGTTGTCAAAACGATATTAACAAGACTATTTTATTGGCCAAATCGACTTGAATGCATATGCTTCAGTCAAGGTATTCCCCACCCCCACTCCGCCCCCAAATCTTATTTTTTTCAGTCGACTTCCCTTTAAACACCATTCGCACGACCGCGGACTTATTTAATAAAAAAGTTATGACCGAGATTGAGTCAGTTGTCTTTTCACTTTGGGTGACAGCGTCCTAGTGAGCGTTAATTACAGTGGACTTTCAAACGCAGAAGTTGCGGTGACTAATTTGGCGTGCATGCAAACAAGTAGCCTAGCCGTTGCCCCGTCTTAACCACTTGACTTGTGCATTCTATGCCTCCGACTCCTAGTCACTTCTCTCAGGTGGACAAGACAGCTCTACGTCTCGTGTTGTTATTTTTGCTTGCCATCAATCTACTTCAGGTGCGTGCGTGTATTAATCCAAATTTAATTATTACTAGTGGAATAATTCCTTTTTTTCAGCTCAAATAGGAGACATGTCTAGCATATTGTTATAGTTCTGTGTGTGTGGGGTTCTACGACTGTGTGCTACTCTTTAATTGCCAGGATTGTAAATGAAATCTTAATAGATTGCTCACTTTAACTACTGGTCTCGCGTAAAGTCTGTGGGGATTTGAAAAGATTGAGCATTTAAAGTGAATGTAATTTCTAATAAGGCACTTTCTCCTACA